GGGGGGGGTGATCTAATTAAGAATCCCATGAGAGATTACTTCATCCTGGATACCCCCTATCACCACAGGGGACTCCCCCCACAACACACACACACACACACACCAATGACAGCATGTCTTCTGACCAATTATCTGGCGTGGCGACCTCCTGGTTCCCTACAGACAGAGAGGTAATTTAATCAGCCAACCCCTACAGCCACGCATGCACGTGTGCGCGCGCGCACACACACACACACACACACACACACACACACACACACACACACCCAAACACACACACACACACACACACACACACACACACACACAAAACACACACACACACACACACACACACACCCAAACACACACACACACACCCAACACACACACACACACACACACCCAAACGCACACACACACACACACACACACACACACACACCCAAACACACACAGCTTAGTTCGCCAAGTCAGCCCATTCATACATCTGTAACCAACAATGACAGTGAGACTGTACAAAAGCCCTCAGAATGGAGCAGCATTTTGCTGAGATGGACTTGATCAAGCAAGTTGATTTCACCTGTTGACACTGTCATGCAATCACACACCTGTCACTAATTATCAGGACTGCCCTGATAGGCTCATTCACACTTCTAGTTAGTATTTAAAGCCTGTCAAGCCATTTCTCAGTTTCTTTCCAGTTGTCGAAGTTAACTTACCCGGAGCGCTGTCCTAGTTCTGTTCTTTGGATTATATACGAGGAGCACGTCAAGCATGTTGTTTATCTTTTCATGTTATGTAACCTGCTTATGACTACTCCTTATGTTACAGAACCTTTACCATGTCCAAGCACCAGTCCTAAATAAATATGTGAACTTTGGCAATGTCTCTGTCGTCTGTTTGCTCTCTGACTGGAGCAGAGTACCCCTGGTAACATCTATCCCACTCCAATTCGCATACCGCCCCAACAGACCCACAGATGATGCAATCTCTATTGCACTCCACACTGCCCTTTCCCACCTGGACAAAAGGAACACCTACGTCAGAATGCTGTTCATTGACTACAGCTCAGCGTTCAACACCATAGTGCCCTCCAAGCTCATCACTAAACTAAGGACCCTGGGATTAAACACCTCCCTCTGCAACTGGATCCTGGACTTCTTGATGGGATCCTGGTCTTCCTGACAGGCCGCCCCCAGGTGTTGAGGGTAGGCAACATATCCGCCACGCAGACCCCTCCTGTACTCCCTGTTCACCCACGACTGTGTGGCATCACACAACTCCAACACCATCAAGTTTGCCGACGACACGACGGTGGTAGGCCTGATTACAGACGACGATGAGACGGCCTACAGGGAGGTCAGAGACCTGGCAGTGTGGTGCCAGGACAACAACCTCTCCCTCAACGTCAGCAAGACAAAGGAGCTGATCGCCGAGCACTTTAAGTTCCTTGGTGTCCACATCACTAAGGAATTATCATGGTGCACACACACCAACACAGTCGTGAAGAGGGCACGACAATGCCTCTTCCCCCTCAGGAGGCTGAAAAGATTTGGCATGGGCAGCTGCACCATTTAGAGCATCTTGACTGGCTGCATCACTGCTTGGTATAGCAACTGCTTGGCATCTGACTGCAAGGCGCTACAGAAGGTAATGTGTATGGCCCAGTACATCACTGGGGCCGAGCTCCCTGCCATCCAGGACCTCTATACCAGGCGGCGTCAGAGGAAGGCCCTAAAAATTGTCCGACTCCAGCCACCCAAGTCATAGACAGTTCTCTCTGCTACCGCATGGCAAGCGGTACCGATACACCAAGTCTGGAACCAACAGGACCCTGAACTGCTTCTACCCCCAAGCCATAAGACTGCTAAATAGTTTGTTTGATAGTTAACCAATAGCTACCCGGACTATCTGCATTGACTCTTTTTGCACTAACTCTTTTGACTCATCACATATGCTACTGTTACTATTTATTATCTATCCTGTTGCCTAGTGACTTTATTCCTACCTATATGTACATATCTACCTCAATTACCTCGTACCCCTGCACATCAACTCGGTACTGGTACCCCGTGTATAAAGCCAAGGTATCGTTACTCATTCTGTGTTATTATTTTTCTATATTTTTCTGTCTGCGTTGTTGGGAAGAGCCCGTAAGTAAGCATCTCACTGTTAGTCAACACCTGTTATTTACAAAGCATGTGTCAAATAAAATGTGATTTGATCCAACCAGTTACCTATCTTGGGTTTGTTGGCCTATTTTTCAGAAACATACTGTTCATTCGTCAGTACACTGCATGTAAGGTCGTTTTACACACAGGGCTGTGTGGTGGATAGAAGGTATTGCCCATAGGACTGTTGCCATATCATCATATTACCATCTCAGTATCAACTAGCGGTTGTTGTCAGAATAGATGTGTGTGTAGATAAGCGGTACACTCCTAGAAAAAAGGGTTATTCGGCTGTCCCTATAAGACAACCCTATTTGGTTCCAGGTAGAACTATTTTGGGTTCCATGTAAAGGGTTCTTCTACCTGGAACCAAAAAGGGTTCTTCAAAGGGTTCTCCTATGGGGACAGCCGAAGAACCTTTTTAGGTTCTAGATACCACTTTTATTTCCTAAGAGTGTAGTGTTTCTGCCTTGGACAGACTTTATCAGATTATCCCAAATGAATCCTAATCCTAATCGCACCAGATTTAATAGCCCTACTCACTATAATGAGCAGATTACACACGCACGCATGTACACACGCCTGCACACACGCACACAAAGACAGACAGCGAGAGAAAGGGGGTAGAGGGTGAGATGGAGAGCAAGGATGAAAGGATGAAACAGATGGCCAAGTAATTTCTTTATATATTCAACACACACCTGTCCATCAGTGTTAACAGACACAGTGAACAAAAGGCCAGCTGTCACTCCAGCAGCCCACAGTCACATTATGAATAGTCTCATCCACACACTCCACAATATCTATATGGCTTGTTTAAGAACAAACAACTTGGTTAATAGCAGATACATGTAATTGTGTGTCTAATCGACTTCATCATTAGACTGTAAAGCACAGCCAATATAACTTCAAACTTTAGCAATAGGTTGGGTTTATAGCTCAACCCAGAGGTGAGTTTCAGTATAGCAGCACCCCCGAGGGTCAATGTTGTTGTAATACCATAGATATCCACGAAGGGGCGGTAAAATACCATTAATTTAATTTACAGGCGCGCCCATGGATATCATATAGGCTTTATTAAAAATGACTGTACATTCAATTCATCATTGACGTTTTCTCGTCGTCAGGAACTACATGTGGTCTAGATACTTTTGAGTTTTAGATGACGATATTTGAGATTGCTTTATATTTAATTCAAAACAATATAATAATTGACCATTGACCAAAACCTGCATGGCATAGATGGACCCTATATGAGGCTCAAAAGGAGTGTCATGAAAGCCGAAGCAGGAGCCTCGGGAGCCCGCCTCTTACTGTCTATGACTGGCTGTTTTCTTCCCCGTTTGGGAAAAACACTCTTCTGATTGGCTAAACCAGGTATCCGTCAGCCGTGACAGGCATTGGTGTACATAATGTGTTTCAGAAATGAAACCAAATTTCGCCCCTGACTCAAAAAGAAACACGAAAACAAAACCTAGACGTCTTCTAAACTTAGAATCGGCAATTATCCTTGACGATCAGACTGCCTGCAGTTGACTTCAAAGGTAGGCTGCGACCCGACAACATTTCAACAGACTAATAGTCTAGTGCAGTAGGAAAATATAGCTAGAGCTAAATCCTTGTGATGTTTTTGTAGATCTGTCATAAACAAGCACCTTTCTTCAACAATAGCATTCTGCCAGTATCCTGAGAATCAAATTATCTTGACGGTTTCGCTCTTCCTAGGGTAGCATATCTAACTACACTTTCCCAGGCTGCCTAGTTAACATTACACAGTTTGTGTGTGTGTGTGTGTGTGTAAAAAAAAAAAAATCATGGCTATATTGTAAGCAGTGGGATAGGCTTATCGGTACAATTTCATGATATTATAATATTAATGTCCCATGTTCCTTTCTGTAGGGTGAAATGTACGCGGCAATCCCCTGATGTGTAGTGATCCTGGAATGGAGCTAATCTATGTTTGGTCAGCAAAGGTGGGCTATTTTCTTGTATGTAGGCCTAAATACGTGTAGCCGAATCATCTTCCAGGTAAACTATTTGTTGAAGACCCGAAGATGCAACAATGTTTCCATTTACATGTAGATTATAGCATAGGAGGAGGCTGCGTGTCCCTCGTTATTGTCGCCTTTCAAAAGGCCAGCAGCACCAGGAACGCTCATTGTTTATAAGTTAAAGCCACGCTGCGCACGTTGGTCAAAAAGTATGTATAGACTTGCTTTTTGTCGCTCACAAATTGTCACGTGAGTAAAATCAGAGCCATAGGCTCTACGTAAAACATTAGGCTATTTGTAGGCTATAATGTGGTTTACAACGCTCTGTCTCAATATCCGTGCTTGTGATTCCGCTGGAGTCGCAGAGCACATTTCGCAATACTGCGCATTGTGTCAGCAGTGTTCTGCCAGTGACATATCTATATCGGCCAACATGGAACTTTTGTAGTATTATGGCTTATTCTTTGTGCCCATTTCCACACCTGTCAGTTGTCTGTCTGTCGCGCCTTTCAAGCATTGCTACATCCGGGTTCCAGTGATGGATGGTGCACAGGTGTTTACATGCATGGCTTCCTTTCCTTGCCTCGTCTCCTTTATCTACCATTATGTGAGGAGCTGGATAGGTGAAAGTCTGAAAGAGGTTCCATCTGTTACTAGTCTGAAAGAGGTTCCCTCTGTTACTCAATCCAGTGCAGATGAGGGAGGAGAAAGACACATGGTTATTGTAATACAGCCAAGTTGTGGATTTATGGCACTGATTCGCTCTCTCACTTTCTCTTCCACCCTTTCTGTACTCCACAGGTCCAATCAGTAGCTAGGGGCTTGATTGTTGGTGGTAACTGAAGCTGTGGTTACCATGGCGGCACACTTTGACACAGAGTACCAGCGCCTAGAGGCCTCATACAGTGACTCTCCACCAGGAGAGGACAACCTACTGGTGCACGTACCTGACGGAAACAAGTGTAAAGTTCTTATGTAGATCTACAGACACACACACACATACACACACACACACACACACACACACACACACACTAACCTGTTTTTGTTGTTGACTGTTCTCTGCAGCCCCGTGGCACCACATAGAGAACCTGGACCTGTTCTTCCAGAGGATATCCTTTTACCCCTCTGTGTCTCTGTACTCCTGGACTATTCACTACTACAACTACCCCAGGGGTTATTTTAAGACAGGGATGGTCAACACCTTCCGGGAGAAGAGTAGAACCAGGTGTGTAAGAGCAGGGCTAGAACAAAAGCATGCACGCCTAGTAGCTCTCCAGGAGGAGGAATGTTGAGCTTGTGACCTGAGTTAATACTATCGACCACTAGACTTTCATTATGAGAGGACACATGCTACTTTTACGTCCTAATCTGATCCTTGACCCCTGATCCCTGACACGTCTATAACCTGCACCAGAAGAATGGCTTCACCTGTATGCTGCTGGGAGAGGTCTTTGAGCTGGTGTAAGTACACAGTGTGTGTGTGTGTGTGTGTGTGTCTGTCTGTGTCTTCTATGTGGTCCATGTCGGTGTCCTGAGGGGTCGTTTTCAACTTTCCTCTCTCTCTCCTCTTTCCTCCTTCCCCCTTTCTCCCCCTCTGTAGCCAGTTGCTGTTTGTGGTAGGGTTCACGGTCTTCTTGGCTAATTGTGTGGACTATGACATTCTGTTCGCTAACAAGTTTGTCAACCACACCGACTCCTCCAAAGTTACGCTGCCTGACGCCTTCCTGCCTGTGGACATCTGCAGCGCAAGGTAAGGCTCTAAACACTTCATAAATGCTTTATAAATGCATTATAAACACGTCTTTAGCGCTCAGACTAGTAAGGAATGCTGGAAAATGTCCTTCCTGCTTTTTGTTTTCCCACCAGTATCCGTGATAATCCTGCTTGTTGTTTTCCCGCCAGTATCCGTGACAACCTGCTTGTTGTTTTCCCGCCAGTATCTGTGACAAGCTGTTTGGTGTTTTCCTGCCAGTATCCATGACAACCTGCTTGTTGTTTTCCCGTCAGTATCCGTGACAACGTGGCAGTGATGTTTGTATTGATGATATCTGGAGTGTTCTGGCTGCATCGCCTCATCAAGTTCATCTACAACGTCTGCTGCTACTGGGAGATACGCTCCTTCTACACCAACGCACTCAAGATGAGCATGGTGAGTGTGTGTATGTGTGCCTGTCTGTGGGTCTTCAACCTACTGCTTTAACTACTGATCTCCACCCCTCCTCTCTTCTCCCCTTCTCCTCTCTCTCCCCCTCTCCTCCTCCCCCTCTCCTCCTCATCTCCCCCCTCCTCCCCTCATTCTCCACCTTCTCCTCCCCCCTCTCTAGGCAGAGCTGCCATACTTCACATGGCAGGAGGTTCAGGCCCGGATCGTTGAGATCCAGAAGGAACACCAGATCTGTATCCACAAGAAAGAACTCACAGAACTGGACATATACCACCGTATCCTGCGCTTCAAAAACTACATGGTGTGTGTGTCTGTGTGTGTGTGTGTGTCTGTGCACTCACATGTGTTTGTGCTCGTGTCAACTTCTTTACCATTCCTCGCTTGTGCCCCTGCTGCTGAACAACATGTCAATCAAAAACAACACCACCTAAACCGCCTTCTTCGTCTTCCTCCAGGTTGCCATGGTGAATAAGTCCCTCCTTCCCGTGCGTTTCCGCCCGCCGCTGCTCGGGGAGAGTGTGTTTTACACCCGCGGCCTCAAGTACAACTTTGAACTCATCTTCTTCTGGGGGCCAGGTTGGTGTGTGTAATGTGTGTTTTGGGGTTTGTGCTTGGTACACTTTATTTGGTACACTTTTCACCTCTCTCTCTCTGTCTCTCTCTGTCTCTCTCTGTCTCTCACCCCCCCTTCCCAGGCTCTCTGTTTGAGAGTGAGTGGAGTTTGAAGCCGCAGTATAAGAGAGGTGGTAACAGGCTGGAGCTGGCAGACAAACTGGCATCACGTATACTGTGGATCGGCATCGCCAACCTCTTACTCTGTCCTGTCATACTGGTCTGGCAAATACTGTATGCCTTCTTCAGCTATACAGAGGTAGATACACACACACACACACACACCGCTGTGCTCCGTTATGGAGGTGTAGCAGATACTGTAAAGCTAATTTATTGTGTGTGTGCGTGCGTGTAGGTGATAAAGCGTGAGCCAGGCAGTTTGGGAGCGAGGTGTTGGTCTCTGTATGGTCGATGTTACCTTCGCCACTTCAATGAGCTGGACCACGAACTGATGTCACGGCTCAGCAAGGGCTACAAAGTAGGAATGAACACACACACACACACCACACACACACACACACATATAGAAGGTGTGTAAGGTAAGTATTGTGATATTGATGAACTGATTCTTGTCTCTGTTGCTGTCAGTGGTGGCTAAAATGTCAGATTTTCTTCACTTCAGTGCGTGGTGTTTCCCTCCCGCAGGCGTCCTCTAAGTATATGAACTGCTTCCTGTCCCCGTTGCTGACGGTGGTGGCTAAGAACGTGGCGTTTTTTGCTGGCTCCCTATTGGCTGTCCTCATTGCTCTGACCATCTACGACGAAGACGTCCTCGCCGTGGAACACGTCCTGTCATCCATCACCCTGCTGGGAGTGTGTATCACTGTCTGCAGGTGTGTGTGTTTGTGTCTGTCTGTGTACGAAGTTATATGAAGGGTTTAGTGCATTCTTTCATATTCTCCCTCCCTCCCTCCCTCCTCAGGTCTTTTATCCCAGATAAACACCTGGTGTACTGTCCAGAGCAGCTGCTCAGGGTGATCCTGGCTCACATCCACTATATGCCAGATCACTGGCAGGGCAACGCCCACCGTTATGAGACACGAGACCAGTTCTCACAGCTCTTCCAGTACAAGGCTGTGAGTAGCACTATAGTCATAACCTTTGCCACCCTTTATAAAGCATGATCATTTCGGAAGCACATAGCATATTCTTCTCTACCTGTCCAGAGCCTGTATTCACAAAGCGTCTCAGATTAGAAGGGCTGGTCTAGGATCAGTGTACCCTCTAAGGTCGTAATGAAGAAGATTACATGTACAGGGGGGACCTGATCCTAGATCAGCGTTGAGGTGTTTAACCCTTTAACTCAGGTGTTTAAACCTTTCCTCTGCCTGTCCAGGTGTTTATCCTAGAGGAGCTGATCAGCCCCCTGGTGACTCCCTTCATCCTGATCTTCAGTCTGAGGAGGAAGTCGCTGGAGATCATTGACTTCTTCAGGAACTTCACCGTGGAGGTGGTGGGGGTGGGAGACACCTGCTCCTTCGCTCAGATGGACATCAGACAGCACGGACACCCCGCGGTGAGACATATACACACACACAACTCATACGTACACACACACAGATGGGCAATGCATAAATAGTGACTCTCTATTTCTCTCTCTCTCTTTCCCTCTCTCCCTCTCTCTCTCCCTTTCCCCTCCCTAACTCCTCCCTTCTCTCCTTTCTCTTACGTCCTCCTCCCCCTCTCCCTCCCTCCAGTGGATGTCTGAGGGGAAGACAGAGGCATCTATTTACCAACAGGCGGAGGATGGGAAGACTGAGCTGTCCCTGATGCATTTTGCCATCACCAACCCCCAGTGGCAGCCCCCTACCGAGACCACTCACTTCATCAGCCAGCTGAAAGAGAGAGTACAGAGAGAGGCTACGGGAGACACACACACTCTCACCTCACTGTCCGAGTCAGAGGTATGGAGACAGACAGACATGCCAATACATACATTGACACTTCAATTTTGGATCTCAAGTTTCACATTGTATACATTTCTCAGTTTTTTGTTTACACTGATGTTAAAGGTAAAAATCAAATTCTCTGTCTCTCTGTGTGTGTCTCTCTCTCTCTCTCTCTCTCTCGCTCTCTCAGCCAAGGAGTCTGATAGCTAACTTCCTGGCAGGTCCCCCCTCATTGGCCTCTCTTAATCTGGGGCGAGACGGCGCCTTGACCAATCACGGGCCGGACGGTGTTAGCGACGGGGCGTCAGCCTTGCGCTCCCTCTCAGTCAGCAGCATGAGGGGCAGCTGTAGCTCCGCCCATAGGTCGGCCGGACACGCCTCTTCTGCAAGCAGAGCCATGGTAGGATCAAGGTAAAGCCCACACTCCTCCCACGACCAATCAACGAATCAATCAAGCAATCTATCAATCAACTAACAGTCAATCAACAAACTCTCTCTCCCCCCCCCCTCAGTACTGACGCTCGTACTGCTAGTTCAGGCAGTAGTGCGTGGGAAGGTCAGCTGACTAGTCTCGTCCTATCAGAATACGCCTCCACGGAGATGAGCATCCACGCACTCTATATACATGAGGTCTGTCTGTCTGTGTCGGGATGGTTTTAAAAATGTTGCAATAAAGAGCATCAAAAGTAAATGCATCTCTCCCACTTCCTCTCTCCCCTCCTTCTCCCCTCTCTCTCCCACTTCCTCTCTCCCACTTCCTCTCTCCCCCTCTCCCTCCCTCTATCTAGCTCCATAAGCAGCAGTCTGGAGGGGCGTTGTCCCGGCACACCTGGCACAGGCAGGACAGTGACGACAGTAGTGACAGTGTCACAGAGGAGGGGGGTTCAGGGGGAGGGAACCCTAACCCCCGAAACCCCATCCCCCGCTCACACACCTTCCCTATCTCTACCCCTATCTCCACCCCTGGCCCTATCACCAGCTCTAACTCGGGCCCTAACCCTGACCGAGGTACCACCCCGGGGCAGGAAGAGGCACCACTCCAGAGCAATAGCCAGCGTCGCTACGGGGGAACCACAGGTAACCATGACAAATGTGTCTCAAATGACACTCTCATTCAATGATATTGAAGATGACATATTGATCATACTGATATCTCTCTGTGTGTGTGTCGCTCCTCCAGACTCTGTGGGCCCGGGGGGCAGAGTGGTGAGGTCGGCGCGTGTGCCCATGGGGGGTTGGGCAGAGGAGGGACGGGGAGGCCGACACCCAGACACTGTACCTGAGGAGGGCTCAGAGGACGACATGCCTCCCAACATACACAAGGTATTTACACACACGCGCACACAAACAAAGATCTTGCGTCTGTGTATGAGGTTCCATCTCAGTGTTTCCCTCTCTCCTCAGGTGACGTAAATGACCAGAGAGATCCCACCTACCCCCCACAAACACATCAAACATCCTCATCCTCCCAGAAAAGAACTTCCTACTCACCTGTGACCTTTCACCATGGCTTTACCTTTGACCCCAGATGGACAGACATGTGGGATAGCAGCATGCCGTGTTATTCGCTCTGGGCTAGAGAAAAACAATTGAGTAACAGTGTGAAGATTACAATGACTTCTTCTTGACACCCTCTGTGGATGACACCGCCAATCAAGTGACGGTGGTTGACGACTTCATCATAACTGACAGCATGGAACCCATAGCATATTTATCGGCTTCCATAGTTGCCTCCTATACACTAATCTAAGGTCAGCTTGATGTTTTCTCTCCATAATGGTTAAGGTTAGGATTTAGGGAGGGTAAGCTGATCATAGATCTGTGCCTAAGGGCAACTTCTAGCCAGAGAGCACCTTTTTAAAGATAAGATTTAGTAATGACAAGTTTGTCATTATTTTTAATTCTTTGTTTTTTTCTCTTTGGGTTGCTTATATTTATTGCATTTTCAGAGAGAAATTGTGTTCTCATATATATATATATATATAGGAGTCTTCCATCAAAGTATGACTCTGCACTGGCACTAGGAATCATTTTGGGATTGGGTGATGGTGTTGTACAAAGACCTCATAGACGTGAAGCAGGCACTAAACCGATATACAGCATGTGCATAGACATACTGGTATAATTCAAATCAGGACGTTGGACTATTCTAAGTATATCATTGAGGTGTATATAGTTAATAAATGGAGATATGCACATACAATAAACACATCATAGTTATTGTTTTTGTGTCATACAAACACTCTTTTAAATTAAAGAAAGCAAACTAACCAGGCTGATTGGAACGGGTAACTTCAGCCTCTTCAGTGCCATATTTAAGCACTTAAAGGGGCAATCCGCAGTTGAAATGATAACAAAATCTCCCCCACCACTGTTTCAGTAAAAGGTTGAAGGATGGGGCTGGAGAAATGTAACCACACTCAAATTCAAAGACAGAGCTGTGGATGCAAGGACTGACCATCCATCCATTTTTAACCATGTTTTGAGGCTATACAGTGTTTGTTTACATTTACTTTGTTTTGTACTTTGTTCCAATGTTAGCAAACATTGGAAAAACAAGTTTATATTTTGGCTTCTGATGGGGTACGACAGTTGAACTAAGCTCATGGGGCATTTATAAGTTATAGTCTTCAAGAATCAATGGGTTTATATCCAAAATGGATGTAGTAACTGCAGATTGCCCCTTTAAGCACAACCATCCCATAACTATACAGCAATCAACCTTCAATCAACACTAATAGCTGTATAGAATCATCAGCATCAGGCAAACTGCATGTTTTTTCTGCCCAAACTGTCTGGGGAAAAAAAGAGAATGCACTTTAATGACTTTTGTTGAATCCAAAGGATGTCACTTGTCAGTATATTGATTTTGATAATTTCATATTTTTATGACTTTATTTTAACCAGGGCTTGTGCCACCTTCAGAGAGTTGAGGTTGAGATGCATGGTGATTTACAAGTGTTTGTTTTTGTGGTTCACACTGACTAGCCTGGTCCCAGATCTGTTTTAAGCGCTGTATAACCAGCTCCCATATGGTTGATCATACAGCACAAACAGATCTGGGACCAGGCTACAGAGGGGACATATGCTTCTAATAGATACAGTCAAAGAAACTCTACAGCTGGGTATTCATTTCTAGAAGGCAAGGTCTGCAGTGCTGCTCGCTATTGATTGATATATTAATGTAATTGAGTTGCCAGCCAGAGAGTCCAATCTGAATCATACCCTGGATAAATATCAGCTGCAGACCTGGAGGCCTGGATTTCAATAATGTAAAGGGTCTCCTGGGACACAGTGGAAGAAGCCACTGTGGTACAAGTTTAACAATGAGGTAGTAGGATTCCTGAGCTGACACATATAGCCTATCTGGTTTTGTTTTTGTTTTTATAGATTGTCCTGTAAATTGCCATTTTGTACAGTTGTAAATCATCAATAAAAATGTATTTAATACGTTTATGTCATTTCAAGTTTTGTTAGTAGTATGTACAAGATACACATGGTATACACCGTCCAATTAAACGCTTAGTTGCAGGTTCCTTTTCGACAATTCAACAATATATTTTATTAAGAAATAATAAAAGATAAGAATACGAACATAAAGTAAATGGCTCAGTAGAACATAATAAATATTTTAGCATAAGTATATGGTAACTTGGGGGAAAATATCGGAACAAAATGACATTGAGCATTTCACTATTAATATCCTCACAATAAGCAGGTTTCCACCCAACCTTTTTATGCTAGTAAAGTACATAAATGTACAAAAATTACAAAAATGTAGGTGGAAACACTTTTATGCGCAAATATTGATATAATAGCCATCATATCTAATTGAACTTGGAGCCGTGCGGTGACATGTTGTGTGGTCCTCCCACTATGACTCATCGGAAAAGCACGAAGTTTATTAGGTTACAGATGAAATAAATTATGATGAGCTTCACAGGGTAGTGAAAGTGCAAGGTGATGAGCTTGGTGCTCCTTTCCATAACATTGAGGGTTATTCTGGTGACATGATAATCGATGCTTGGCTGCCGTTTGACAAATAAAAATGATCTCGCTCTTTTGTCCATAATAATAATCTCATCATGTAGGCCAGGGTAACTCCAGTCCTCGGGGGCCGGAGTGGTATCACACTTTTCCCCCATCCCTAGCAAACACAGCTGATTAAACTAATTGATATTGAAGATGACATATTCAATATCAATTAGTAGTCATTCAATGATATTGAAGATGACATATTGATCATACTGATATCTCTCTGTGTGTGTGTCGCTCCTCCAGACTCTGTGGGCCCGGGGGGCAGAGTGGTGAGGTCGGCGCGTGTGCCCATGGGGGGTTGGGCAGAGGAGGGACGGGGAGGCCGACACCCAGACACTGTACCTGAGGAGGGCTCAGAGGACGACATGCCTCCCAACATACACAAGGTATTTACACACACGCGCACACAAACAAAGATCTTGCGTCTGTGTATGAGGTTCCATCTCAGTGTTTCCCTCTCTCCTCAGGTGACGTAAATGACCAGAGAGATCCCACCTACCCCCCACAAACACATCAAACATCCTCATCCTCCCAGAAAAGAACTTCCTGCTCACCTGTGACCTTTCACCATGGCTTTACCTTTGACCCCAGATGGACAGACATGTGGGATAGCAGCATGCCGTGTTATTCGCTCTGGGCTAGAGAAAAACAATTGAGTAACAGTGTGAAGATTACAATGACTTGACACCCTCTGTGGATGACACCGCCAATCAAGTGACGGTGGTTGACGACTTCATCATAACTGACAGCATGGAACCCCTAGCATATTTATCGGCTTCCATAGTTGCCTCCTATACACTAATCTAAGGTCAGCTTTATGTTTTCTCTCCATGATGGTTAAGGTTAGGATTTAGGGAGGGTAAGCTGATCATAGATCTGTGCCTAAGGGCAACTTCTAGCCAGAGAGCACCTTTTTAAAGATAAGATTTAGTAATGACAAGTTTGTCATTATTTTTAATTCTTTGTTTTTTTCTCTTTGGGTTGCTTATATTTATTGCATTTTCAGAGAGAAATTGTGTTCTCATATATATATATATATATATATATATATATATATATATATATAGGAGTCTTCCATCAAAGTATGACTCTGCACTGGCACTAGGAATCATTTTGGGATTGGGTGATGGTGTTGTACAAAGACCTCATAGACGTGAAGCAGGCACTAAACCGATATACAGCATGTGCATAGACATACTGGTATAATTCAAATCAGGACGTTGGACTATTCTAAGTATATCATTGAGGTGTATATAGTTAATAAATGGAGATATGCACATACAATAAACACATCATAGTTATTGTTTTTGTGTCATACAAACACTCTTTTAAATTAAAGAAAGCAAACTAACCAGGCTGATTGGAACGGGTAACTTCAGCCTCTTCAGTGCCATATTTAAGCACTTAAAGGGGCAATCCGCAGTTGAAATGATAACAAAATCTCCCCCACCACTGTTTCAGTAAAAGGTTGAAGGATGGGGCTGGAGAAATGTAACCACACTCAAATTCAAAGACAGAGCTGTGGATGCAAGGACTGACCATCCATCCATTTTTAACCATGTTTTGAGGCTTACAGTGTTTGTTTACATTTACTTTGTTTTGTACTTTGTTCCAATGTTAGCAAACATTGGAAAAACAAGTTTATATTTTGGCTTCTGATGGGGTACGACAGTTGAACTAAGCTCATGGGGCATTTATAAGTTATAGTCTTCAAGAATCAATGGGTTTATATCCAAAATGGATGTAGTAACTGCAGATTGCCCCTTTAAGCACAACCATCCCATAACTATACAGCAATCAACCTTCAATCAACACTAATAGCTGTATAGAATCATCAGCATCAGGCAAACTGCATGTTTTTTCTGCCCAAACTGTCTGGGGAAAAAAAGAGAATGCACTTTAATGACTTTTGTTGAATCCAAAGGATGTCACTTGTCAGTATATTGATTTTGATAATTTCATATTTTTATGACTTTATTTTAACCAGGGCTTGTGCCACCTTCAGAGAGTTGAGGTTGAGATGCATGGTGATTTACAAGTGTTTGTTTTTGTGGTTCACACTGACTCAAGGGCCTGGTCCCAGATCTGTTTTAAGCGCTGTATAACCAGCTCCCATATGGTTGATCATACAGCACAAACAGATCTGGGACCAGGCTACAGAGGGGACATATGCTTCTAATAGATACAGTCAAAGAAACTCTACAGCTGGGTATTCATTTCTAGAAGGCAAGGTCTGCAGTGCTGCTCGCTATTGATTGATATATTAATGTAATTGAGTTGCCAGCCAGAGAGTCCAATCTGAATCATACCCTGGATAAATATCAGCTGCAGACCTGGAGGCCTGGATTTGAATAATGTAAAGGGTCTCCTGGGACACAGTGGAAGAAGCCACTGTGGTACAAGTTTAACAATGAGGTAGTAGGATTCCTGAGCTGACACGTATAGCCTATCTGGTTTTGTTTTTGTTTTTATAGATTGTCCTGTAAATTGCCATTTTGTACAGTTGTAAATCATCAATAAAAATGTATTTAATACGTTTATGTCATTTCAAGTTTTGTTAGTAGTATGTACAGGATACACATGGTATACACCGTCCAATTAAACGCTTAGTTGCAGGTTCCTTTTCGACAATGCAACAATATATTTTATTAAGAAATAATAAAAGATAAGAATACGAACATAAAGTAAATGGCTCAGTAGAACATAATAAATATTTTAGCATAAGTATATGGTAACTTGGGGGAAAATATCGGAACAAAATGACATTGAGCATTTCACTATTAATATCCTCACAATAAGCAGGTTTCCACCCAACCTTTTTATGCTAGTAAAGTACATAAATGTACAAAAATTACAAAAATGTAGGTGGAAACCCTTTTATGCGCAAATATTGATATAATAGCCATCATATCTAATTGAACTTGGAGCCGTGCGATGACATGTTGTGTGGTCCTCCCACTATGACTCATCGGAAAAGCACGCAGTTTATTAGGTTACAGATTAAATAAATTATGATGAGCTTCACAGGGTAGTGAAAGTGCAAGGTGATGAGCTTGGTGCTCCTTTCCATAACATTGAGGGTTATTCTGGTGACATGATAATCGATGCTTGGCTGCCGTTTGACAAATAAAAATGATCTCGCTCTTTTGTCCATAATAATAATCTCATCATGTAGGCCAGGGTAACTCCAGTCCTCGGGGGCCGGAGTGGTATCACACTTTTCCCCCATCCCTAGCAAACACAGCTGATTAAACTAATTGCATTCTAAACTGAAGATCATGTTTAGTTGATTTTTGGAGTCATATGTGTTAGCTGGGGCTGGGGAAAAAGTGTGACACCAATCAGGCCCCGAAGGCTGGAGTTGCCCATCCCTGATGTAGGTTACATGTGCGCTCTAGCTAACATCATGCTGATAGTGCTGTTGGCTAGAGCAGGGTTTCCCAAACTGGTCCTGGGGTAGCCCCTGGGTGCACATTTTGGTTTTTGCCCTAGCACTACACAGCTGATTAAAATAATCAAAGCTTGATGATGAGTTGGTTATTTGAATCAGCTGTGTAGTGCTAGGGCAAAAACCAAAACATTAATTGCCTTGGGGGCATTTTGCTCCAAACATCCTCACTTAAAATTAAAAACTGAAGAAAAAAATGTATCTCTAATCAAGTGGATTATTTATATTTAGGCTCCCCTAATGGTATATATTTAAGCAATAAGGTCCGATATATGGCCAATATACCACATCTAAGGGCTGTTCTTAAGCACAACGCAACGCGGCGTGCCTGGACACAGCCCTTAGCCTTGGTATGTTGGCCATATATAACCCCAAGCCACCCTAATATAGGGAGGCACAATTTATTGTCCAACATTTATAGTGTTTTGGGGAAGGTGGAATTGGAGGGCAAGTGTTTAAATTGTACAGTAGAAATCATAATCAGAGTCTGATATTGATAATGTGTTTACCGGTAAATCTATCATCACCAAATTTCCCTTATTCACAAGTACCCCACAAAACAACTGACCTGTCAACGACTACACCACCAGGTGGCAGGCTACTCCCACTCAACACTGACTCCTATCTTGTCCCACCCATCAGTGCCAACACTGACTCCTGTCCCGCCCATCAAAGTGCTAAGAGGAGCAGACAGTTCCAGTGTTTGTGTTCGTTATAATTTCTATGAGTTTCTAAGGTTGGTTATTATATATCATGGCAGTGCCTCATGTAAGAGCCCGGATAGCTCAGTCGGTAGAGCATCAGACTTTTAATCTGAGGGTCCAGGGTTCAAGTCCCTGTTCGGGCGATACCATTTTCTCTTCAGGGGTGCTAGAATCTTGTGACCCCTCATAATTGGGTCATTCAATTACGCAAATCACGTGCCGTACAATTTTCAAAAGTCCCTGTACGGGCGAAACCATTTTCTCTCCAGGAGTGTTAGAATCGTATAAACACTCATAATGGGTCGTTCAATTATGTAAATCACGTGCCGTGCTTGTGCATATCTGCCTCATTGCGGTAAGATAACGTGTTTTTGTAAAAGTACGGCAGTATTATTATTATTATTGTTTTTTTATTCTTGTTTTTTACATCAACTTGCACCAATTCGCTTCATGGGTATTCTTAGCTGCACGTGCAGTCAAGGTGTGCAGACCAAAATAGCATTCATGGCCTTTACCATTTTACATTTACATTTACATCATTTAGCAGACGCTCTTATCCAGAGCGACTTACAAATTGGATACAATTCCTTTAACATTTAGACACAATACAGTATATTCCCCTTCAAATGGCAATAGTAATGCACGGAACAAATTTCACCAACAAATATTCATGAGTTCCATTGAAAATGCACAGACACTATCCAAATTCATCCATACAGTGTTTTCAAATCATGAAAGGCCTTGATATGGGGCTGAAACATTAGGCCTAGATCCTGTCCTATATAAACCTTTCTTCTGGCATATCATTGTCATCAGTGCTACTGGGGATGTGCTTACTGAAATCTCATTTAGGAGTGCTCATGCAGCGTCATTGCATCTCTAGCGGTTTTCTTGATAACACAAACGCACAGGGTTCCCGGTGCACTAGGCTGAGAGGGGTTGAGGTGGGACAGTGTGTGTGCACTTCCAAGGGGGAAAGAAGAGAGAGAGAGAGAGAGAGAGAGAGAGAGAGAGAGAGAGAGAGAGAGAGAGAGAGAGAGAGAGAGAGACTGTGCTCGTCAACTGGGTCATGTCACTGGAGCAAAACATTTAGCAACGGAAAACAAAACCCTGGTAGTCCCAAAAAGGAATTCAATAATGGGTCAGTCTAGTGTGCTCATAAACCAACTGTTACCTTCACTACCTGTACTACAGACTACAGTTGAGCCAATTTGAGGGAGTGGATATCCATCTA